AGTCCAATAATCGATGGGGGCATTCTTCAAGATGGCCCAAGTAAAATCTATGGGCTGTTTAGCAGTCATTATGCAAGCTGCTTCACATATGAACATGGTGTGCTGGGAACACAATTGCCCATTCCACCACACAGTTCGCCAAGTAATGTTTCCTTTACACGGAAAATGATAGCTGATGCAGCTGCTTGACTAAGGGACTCGTATACTGCCTGACTCGATGGGATCCCATCTGTTCTAAGGAGGGGTGGTGAAGACATACCATTGATCCTTATGAAGCCATTCTCAAAATACCTCACTGAGGCATGCTACCCTGACTGCTGAAAGCTGTCATACATATCTCCCACGTGTAAATCTCTCCCGACGTCAAACATTCAAAACCATCGTTCCATAAATATTACATCTGTAGTCCGTCGTATTATGGAGAAGGTGGTTGTGCAAGAAATTACTTATTATGTGGCTGCTCATCAGCTACTGCCCCTATCCAGCATGGTTTCCTGGGTGGTCTTTCGTATAGTACCTGATTGCGGGATTATTTTGAGTAAGTCACCTACAAACGAGGCGAAGGTCTTTTCGCACCCGCTCTGTCTTTTGACTTCAAAAAAGCCTTTGATAAAGTACCATATATTCGGTTAATTCTGACTCTGTATCATCGTCGATGAGCCCATTCTTTAGACAGCCTACTCAAATAGCAAATTTTAGTCACATTTATTCCTTCCCAAAGCCCAGTTTGAGTGGTGTCACTCAAGGGAGTGTGTCAGGGCCCCTACTCTTCCCTCTTTACATAGATGATATTTCCAACAATGATATGTTAGGCACTGTAACGGAAAATTGATCTGAAAACCCCTCCTGATTGCCCTATTTGATAGTATTGACGTTTATTTGAATATTTTTACCCTCGTTATGGATGGTACACCTTCGACCCTAACCAGTGTAGTGTTATTTGATTTTTGACTGTCTTCATTGACTTTGTACTCAGTAGTTGCCTTGTCTGATTGAGACTTATCATGAATGACGTCGCACTGTTGACAAAGTGATGTTGTTTTACTGCGCCCGACATTTTGCTTTGGTTCAACTTGCGGTTGTATTGTGTTTCGACCGTTTTGACTGTCTACTGGAAACGTTTGTTTGTTGATTTGATTCTGGTAGACAGAGTTTTGATCCCTTTTGTCAGGAATGTTCTTATTGACCGACAGGTACTTAACAGTTGTATTTGTTTAACCAGTTTTTACCGCGTAGTACGTATTTTTACCCGAGAACATTTGAACTGTATAGTTACCCAATGGCACTGTTGAGGTAATTTTGTAATTTTGATATAACTTATTGTTGCTTTGATAGTACCACAGATTTTGTTACAAATCTACCACGTATTTGCTACAAACCGTTTTTTGATATTTTGATCCAACCTTTGACTGTGCGTCACTCGCTGAAGTTCGGAAGGTATACGGTAGAACGCAGGAACTAGCCAGATTCGTGACAGTTGGTACCGCCTAGTTATTTCCCGCGTTCAGTCCAAGATTATTGGATTTTGGCCGTTACAGGCCCTACCTGTTTGTTGATGACTTAAAAATTGTGTACAGCTTCCCTCATTCATCACTAAGTGAGGGTTTTGACGGAATCCAGGAAGACCTGACGTATTTGTTCGCTTTTAGTGAGATACAGCAACTTCCGTTCAACTCTAGTAAACGCGGAATTCTCTGCTTCAGTAATTCCTACCTGAACGTCAGTCCACACTTCGTCGATTCTGTGCCGCAATCATATGACTCAGAATGTGATTTAGGTATTGGGTATTCTAGGAACTTAAAGTTCATGGGTATGCCCGGTCCCTTGTATCCAAATGTAGACGCCCAGTTGGCCTTTTGCTTAAACACTTATATACCACTGAGGATAGACTGCTTTCATTCAGAGAAACGATCTACAAGCACCTGAAAAGGCACGATCATTTTCAAAGACACTTATGCTTCGGATAGGATACGCATTGAGAATATTCAGAGAGAGTTTACTCGCGTTGTACTGGGCCGTCATGAAGGACTTGATTATGACAGAAGGTGTAAAAAACTGGAGATTGACCCTCTGTGTCATCAAGCTCAACCTTAACCCATTTGCCGCCTTCTGCGTGGCATTACTCATGCCCGCTGCGCTCCCACTTTTAAGCTTGTGTCCTCACAGTCTCTGCAATCATGAGTGCACTGTACCTGTCAAAAAACACCGCCTCAAACTTAGGTCACAATCCTTTATGATACTATGCAGCAAGTTATGGAATAAGCACCCGCACTATATTCGCACTTGCGTGTCCCCACTTAAATTTCAACGTCAAATCGACGAATTCACACAGTTCACGGATATCCACAAATTTATTGATATTCATACTGTTTCCACAAGTAGGAAGTATAATGGAGCCATCAGCACGTAATAATGGTCGATCCATTGCGTCCATTGTGGACATACTTAAATCTCTAAATAGATGAATCAGAGTTATTAAAGCCTTCGAATTCCTTCAATGCTGATGGTTAATTTTCGCTTGCAGGGGTATGAGTACTGGCTGCTTTCAGTAAAATGAGCTTAATGAATGCTGTTATCCTCTCAAGGCCACTATGATACACTTAACTTATAGACAATTTTAAGAACCTTATAATTGCAAAACTGTGTAGTTGACTGAACATATATACATGAAAATGTACATAAAGTTCAAACAGGTCTAAAATAATTAGGACTTCTCCCGCCTCTGAATTAGATAGCATAGTAATTCCCTTTTCATGTGTGCTCGTGCTTCTTCCTTTTTTCTTTTATGAAGACATTTGATGCTGAATCCCAATCTGAACATGACTGCTTAGTGGAAATAATACCTGCTGTTTGACTCCAAGAGTTGTTGGACCGCTCCCAGTCTTTTGCGGTTTCTGGACCATCCTCACGATTAACTCACCAGCTGGTCAGGATTATTCCCGCGATGCACGATCTTAGCTTTCATAACGGTTACAGTGGCACAAATCTTCTGAACAAATGATCAAACCAGCGACCAACTCGCAGATTGTCTCGGAACGCGACTTGCCTGCAGTAGCTCCACACTACATATTTTCTAGTACTCTGCATCAAATGATCTTTTCATATGGAAGTTACTATGCATGTCGAATGATGCTGCTTACCCTAATACAAAAGACACCCGAATTCTATGTATAAATACTGTCATTTGGCCTATTAACCGTTTCAACGTCCATTTCCATCCACTACAACAAGTATTCCAGTGGAATGCATCTATATTACTTCTAAACATAACATGTCCACCTGAAAATGCATTGATTTAGACACTCACCCTGGTTATGTAACTGTGGGCACTCACTAATACTCCGGATCATAAAAATAGGTCCTTTTTTCGTTAGCAAAGCTGAATACTGAAGAACTTTGTGATGAACGGGCGGTTATATTATTATATGACAAACTGTGCAAATGGACTAAAAACGTCAACTGGTTGCAACTCAAACTTCGGACTTCGCGCGCTTTTGCTAGTAATAGTGGAACCTATCTGTGGGATGGGAGATGAAAACCCATACCCATCTCATGAACTGCAGCAACTGTTGATAAGATTATGCATATCAATGGATCGATATGTTGATTATATAATACCAAATACTGTCTTGTAAACTTTCAAGAATTATCAGTTTGACGATGCTTGTAAACCAGCATCTCTCATGTCAGATCCATTACATGAAGATAAAGATCATTATTATCTAAACTCTGACACTCTGTCTTCGCTGAAAAGTGACACTTTCTTGTTCGCTTCACAGCTAGCAGGGTCTTCGGCCGTCTTTAATTGAGTTCAATGACATACCTTCTATACCATTCAGGACTCGTTAAATCTTGTGGATTTTTTGACATATATCAATGTTATGATGCCCGCGAACTGGCTTCTTTCATGTTAAGTTGCCAGTGTGAGAATAAAACATACTTAATGTAAAAATGACGAAGAGATAGAGATAATAAACAAAATGACTGACTAGGAACTTCGTCACGCGACGAATTTAATTTCTTGCATGAAGATTTGATGGTCACTTTGAAGTATTTATTGTTAATGTTGATTCATAAATTGTAAACAGACTGTCAGGCTACTCGCACACCCATGCCGAAGCAAGCGGTCATCTGAAGGGACCGGTTGCTGAGTCTCTTACCTTCCTTTTGATTCACAGGGTAACGCAGCAACGTGAGATACTGCATTCCCATAGTTTTCAGCGTCCAAGTTAGGTTCACATGCCATTGATCCACCGGTTTAGAATCTGAATTTTCCAACTTCCCCTTCGTGTACACCAATCTGGTTATAGTGTCTACCATTCGCTTTCGCCCCTTCACTACGATGGAAACACCCTCCACTCACGTAAGAGGAGTCAGTAGGGGCTTTTTGGTAGAGGCTGTCAGTGCGGAGCATATGAGAGAGCAATCAACTTCTGCAACAAGGCCCATTACTTCTCTATAATAATACCAGCAACATCTATTATCCCATAAGTACTTTTCACTCCTTTCTTTTTCATTTCCCACTCGCCTTATTTCAGAAACTTTTTAAGTAACACTTGATACGTAACTGCGAATGCCTGCGACAACATAAGTTGCAAAAGCTACTTGACATTATCAGCAGTTTTGCTGCCTTTCAGATAAATTAAACCACAATTTGCAAGAAAAATTACCTTCAAACAGACAATCACTAACACCAAAAATATTGGCAGGAAAGACATTGAGAATTCTGTGACAGTCAAATGAGACTAACTGAACGGAACGAACTCAGACTCAAGCAGTAGAAGTGAGAGTCCAAAAGCTTCAAGTTTTCTCTACTTGTATTAATCATGTTGGATTTCGCATTGGATACTGAACGTGGTCTGAGACTTCATTCAACATTGGCGTTGCTACTTTGTGGAATGGTCTAGTCCTTTCAGTCTTTTGGTTGGTAGCCTTATTGACGAGTTTGCTTATCATAGAACGATTATCTGAATTGTTCAGTTGGCTATTTATGTTCGATCATGAAGTAAGTGTGAAGTATAACTTGATAACTGTAGGCGTTATCCTTATTTACAATCACATGTGTAATTGCACTTGTCGTTTTAAAGCTTTTTTGCACTGAGTAAAGTTGATGAAAAGTTACATATGCTTGCTCGTTCTCTTCATTTTGAGAAGCAGTCACTTATTTCATGTGTTAGTCTCACACCATACTTTTAACTGATGCTACTATATGTCTTGTTAGTGGGGATAATGGTCTGATTGTTGGGTTAATCTTGTGAGTAGATATCTATGAAAATCTAGTTTCCTCTTAAACGTGTTCATCAACTACTGAAATAAGGAGTCCCAGTGGTTGACTGCGATATGGTAGAGAGGCATATTAACCCTAAGTTGATTAAATCTTGGTTTCTAGACTTACTTGTTATATCCTCGCAGGAAGTCAGTTTTTGCTGGAGAGAAGAAAAGATCACCGAAGTCAGTGTTGAAGACATCAGATGTCTGTATGAGACCACCCCTTTCCCTACCATATTTATTAATATATTATTTTTCCCTTGGGTTCCTAGTGAAACATAGAGCTTCAGCAGCACGCCTCCATTGCACTCTCCTCTCTGCAGTCTTTCGAACCTGGCGTCACGACTGCCCACAAGCTCTCATTTCTTCGTCACATGATCTCTTCCATGTGACCCCCTCCTCGGACCCCCAATTCGTCTTTTCCGCTTTGGATTCCACTCGAGGGCCTAGTGCGTGATGTCCCCAGTCGGCCTTCCCAGTGTATGCCCAATCCATCTCCACTTTCTTCCGCTGTATATTTGTTGGATGATAGGTTCCTAGTTGGTTCGTTAGCAGCCAACCAGAGTTCCTTGTTGCTTATTCTTTCTGACAATCCATCTGGTCTTCAGAATCGAGCCAGCGTAGGCAGCTGTTGATGAATGTCTGTAGTTTGTTGGAAATGCTTTTCGTGACACGCCAAGTTTCTGAGCCATATAGAAGCACTGACTTGACATTGGTGTTGAGAATCCGGATCTTGTTTTTTTGTGCTGAGTGCAGTAGATCTCCACACTGATATCAGATTAGTGAAAGCCTGTCTTGCTGTCTATCCGATCCTGGTTTTGACATCCTCGTCAGTGCCGCCTGTAGTTAAAACAATGCTGCCTAGGTAGGTAGGCAGGTGAAAGAGACTACTTCATTTAGGTTTCTCCCGTTAATAGTGATTGGTGCTTGTTGTTCATGCTGTTGTTTGTTGGGTGTCTTCATAACCGTCTTCTCTACACTCACTTGAATTCCCGTCTTCTCTGCCTCTTCTGTCAACCTGTTAGTTTTCGCCTTTAGATCTTCGAGTTTGTGCGACAAGACATTAGATATAAATTATCATCGTTGGCGAAATCCAAATCTTCTAGGGTCTCCTCGTCGGTCCAGCGTATGCCCATCTTCTCGCTCCTCACGGTTTGCTGCATGATCCAGTCCAGTCGACCACAATCACGAAGATCATCGGTGATGGTAGGTGGTAGCCTTGTCTTACTCCTGTCTTCGTTTCAAGGGCGACAGCTTTCCACTGTGAGTCACTTGGCATGTGGCGTCTTCATATAGTTGTTGAATGAGGTTGATAAAGATTTGTGGTACTAAAACCGTAAAGTTGAAGCAACTGCCAAATTACTTGTCGGTTGACGCTGTCGAAGACCTTTTTAAAGTCGATGAAGTTGAGGTAGAGAGTTGACTGTCATTGCATGCTCTGTTCTATGGTGATGTGTAGCGTTGCAATTTGGTCCGCGCACGATTTGTACTTCCTGAATCCAGCCAGCTTATTCCGGTCGTAGTTTTGAATCCAGTGCATCCTTTAGTCTCTCCAGGATGATGCGGCATAATATTTTGTTTGCATGATTCCGCACCAGTTCTTGCAAAGGCTTTTGTCTCCCTTCTTTGGGATTTTGACGAGGTAGCCCTTCTTCTGATCAACAGACAGGTATCTTTCCTTCCTTCCAGACCTTCTACAGTAGTGGTGTGAGCATGTCCGTTGTTGTCTCTGTGTCCGTTTTCTGTGCTTCTGGTGGAATTCCATCTGGTCCTGCTGCTTACCTGCATTTTGGCAGTTTTATGGCATTCGGGACTTCTGTTGTTGTCGGGGGGCTTGTATCCACTAGTTATTCTGCGGTTGCTGGTGGTATTTCTGGACGGGTTGCAGGTGGTGGTCGATTCAAGAGTTTTTTGAAGTGGTCAGCCTATTGTTTCCTTTGTTTCTCCTCTTTGGTAACTAGGTTCCCTTCACTATCTTTCATTGGTTTCATCGGTGTTGATCTCTTCCTGGATAGCAACCTGGCTATTTAATATAATGTCAGGTCTCTCCTACAGACAGCCTGTTCTGCTTCACTTGTCAATGTGTCGTGGAAGTGTTTTTTGTCTTTGCGTGCACTCTTCTTCACTTCTTTGTCCAGTGTAGTGTTATATAGGTTGTGTTCAGTTCCTCATTTTGTTGTTCATCCTCGAACTGCACTGGTTCATCTTCTGCTTCACCATCACCATCTTCCTCTCCCTGCTCTATCAGCTTCCATGTGTCCGTCGAGATCTATTCCTTGTCTTGTTTCCTTTTCCTTCCTAGTACGGTTATGCAGGTTTCTTTCCATATCTCTTTCAAAGAGTTCCAGTGTTCTTCCGTGCAGGTTTCTACTATTTTGTATTGGTGGCTGGCCGACGTGAAGATGTCGTTTGTAGTTTCGTCCTTCAGTTTCTGTTCTGGGTGTTGAACTTGAACTGTGGTCTATCACGAACTTTCAAGGCTTTCAACTTGATTTGGAAGGTTCCTTGCACTAGATAATGATTGTGCTTGGAAGTTCCTTTAGCGATTGGATTGGTTTTACGGGGTAGGGTTGCTAGCCCTATGCCCAACCTTCCCTCTTTACCCGGGCTCAGGACCGGCTAGTAACCAGTGAACTAGTTAACCGTACGAAGTTTTTCCTACCATGAGACAGGGGTAATAAATTCTGTCGACCTAATCGTTTTCCATAGGGAGGGTTGGGAAAATCAGACACAAGCTTAGTAATCTCATTTAATATACGCTCAAGTATATCGATAGACGCATTCTAGGCTGCGTTTACTTGGTATTCTAAATAAGGTTTTACGTATGCAGAACAGAGTTTGCGGAACGTATCCTGACCAGAACGTTTTGTAGCAACGTGTAGAGACTATAGCACACAAAAACCCTTCGCTGCGACTGCACTGAAGTGTGTGGATGTTCTCAGATCAAAGCTTATGATGGTATTTAAGGCTTTCAGTCCTAAGTCGGAGTAGTGGTAGGTTATGAGTGGAATACTATTGACAATTTGTCTGACCGATGTGCATTATTGCACTTTAACTTGTGTTATTTTCCTGGTACTAAATTTTGAGCCAACCTACCAGTTCATCCAAGTTCACTCAAAATACTTACCTGCTAGGATTACTCCGTATCACTTTACAGACGTTTACATTGTCGACTAATAGAAGCACCGACAGTCTGAGCATTTGCCATAATTGTTTGACATTTGGTAGTGAAGGAAGGGAACTCAAGATTTTTACTCGTGAAGCTCCCCGAATCACAGACTTACACTTAAAGTTCCACTGATTCTCACTCTGCCTTCTGTCTTGCAGGAAGTGCCTAATCTAGATTGGCATTTAAGCTCCCAACCAAAAATGTAAATTGGCGTCACCCTGTCAAGAGTCTTATTAGTCTATGAATGCTGCATCTATTGACAATTTGCAATTACGGGCTGCAGCCTCATTTCTATTTTGTGAGGAGGTTTTTTTAAACACAAGTGACCTGTTGATAAGCCCTGCTGTTGTGGTGCCGAAAAATTATTTGATTCAACAAAGTTTAACACCATAAATTATTTCAAAGAGTTTATTGACTTAGCCACGTTGACTTGAAGGGCGATAGTTAGATATGAACCAACAATTATTGGCCCCGAAAACTGGGCAACTTGTGACATCTTTCGAGTTTTTAGAGAAGCAAGTCTAGTATAAAGGTATATTAAAAGGATCAGCAAATGGCTCTGCAACGAAGATAACAATTTTTCGGTTTAGACCATCAGGACCCGGAGATTTTTAATGCAACCAAAAGACTCTCCTTTATTATTAGAACTGTACCCATTGATATGGTAGTACTGGTACCACTATTGGGCATGTCAGTATCGCGACCTACTGAGAATTCACTGCTGTATTCTGATAAACACATAGCTTTGGTTAGGTTAAATTCCGCCGAGGCATCTCTCTCCAACCACTTGCCCCCATAGTGGGAATTCCATCTTATCTTTCTGTTCTTCCAATGAGGTGGCTTAGACATATACTGCACTTGCCGAGCCACCGCCTAACTAGAAGTGCTGTGTTAGGGGAGGTTAGATTAAATTGGAATAGGGTTCAGTGTGACCACACCAGGACGTGGCACCAGTGCATAAAGTCTCTGACTACTGATCTGAGTCATGTGGTGGAGATGTAGACTGACTGGCTGACTGGGGTCCCCTAGATGGTTAAAATCAGTGGTTGATGACTCTTTGTGACATAGTTGAAAATCGGTCACAATGGCCCAGTTCACTCTTTGACATCTAGAACTTGGATATTCACACTAACCGTTATCTTCAGACTGATTGTTCTATCACACAACTTTGTCGACTATGACAGTCTGTTTTTATCCAGCTGTTTTTTGTGTGCTACTGTGAAGTGCGGCAACTTGAGTCAGTGTTCATGTGTGCGAGGTTCTGTGTTAATTTTCTAGCTGTACATCGAACGAATGACAATAGTCTTTTAAAACAGATTTTGCGATTGTATTCGAGGTGTTTCCCGTATGATGTTCAAGACCATAATTGAAGTTTTGATAGATTTTGGACCCTAAAGTACTTATTTTAAATGTTCCTAACCCAGTTTCCAAGAATGTGTTTGATCAGCGCTTCCTCTACCTAAGCAGTTTTTCAGTATCCTTATCAGACCACCGTGGATGATATAAAGATCTTGGGATCGACCATGAAATAAAGAGCATTCTACCGCTTCGAATGAAGTTCTAAACTT